TCGCTAGCAATACCCTTCTCTCCTTCCTCACTCAGCTCCCCTTAACTGCTACTACGTTGCTTCCTCTGTTCCTCTGGAACGAAGAAAGTATTTGTGTTCTTCCCTATTGTCTATTGATCAATTGGAAAAGGATGTGATAGTAGCCACTCGCCAGCAATCCGTGCTCTTTCTTCAATAATTTGCGCTCTTGTAATAAACAATTCACGAATTTTAGACGTTCCGCAGAAAATCCGCGTTTGGGCGAGCTAGCGCGGGAGCGTTGAGATTGGGTATGCGAATTAGGTATCCTAAGGTTGTACGAATAGAATGCCGAGGAAGCATTGCTGGTGGTGAAGGAGGTGGTGACTCGTCTTTATCGGAGGACTGGGACGAGGAGCTGGACGTATTTGGGCCGGCTGGAGGAGGGGAGTCGGGGGGTAGCGGAACATCCAGGGGGTCAAGTAATCCATCCTCATCATCCTAGGCAAATTAAGGAGGAGCAAGAGACATGTCAGAAAGAGGGGGTTCAGATGTGGACGGTGAGCAATGATACATAAAGTTTTCAACAAAGACGACATGACATGCAATGCGGACACGACGGGGCTCGCGATCATAATACAGATAACACTTATGGATGTCACTGTAACCAAGAAAACAACAACGAGAAGTTTTGGACGTAAGCTTGGTACGTTCAGACTGGGAGAGGAGAACAAAGCAGACGCCGCCAAAGACACGAAGACGGGAATAGGGCGGTGGTTTACGAAAAATATGGAAATATTGGCTATTGTGTTCAAGGACATGAGTGATCTGGTATTTTATTAGAAGAACATCAGTTGCGACAAGGAAGGGACACACAAGGAGAGAAGGAGAGCTCTAGTGACCTCTTGGACATGATGATTTTTTCGTTCAACTAAATCATTTTGTTGAGACACGCCAGGACATGATTTTTTAGACAAAATACCAAGAGACTTATACAAACCTAGTTAGGAACCAAAAATAAACTCTCCACTTGGATCGGAATGGACTACACGAACAATCCTATCAAACTGGGTCTTAATCATGGCAAGAAACTCGGTGGCAACAGATAAAAGATCGGACTTCAATCGGAGAAAATAGACCCACGTGTATCTAGTTGCATGATCAATGAATAGGGTAAAATATTTAAAACCAAGTCGGGAAGTTTCAGGACTAGGCCCCCAAAGATCAACATGCATTAAGTGAAATGGTTCTGTAATCACAGTAAGGCTAGATGCAAAAGATACGCGAGTAGTCTTAGCCTCAATGCACCTAGTACAAGAAAAATCCGACGAAGAAAGAACCAAAGTAACATGTCCAAATAACTGTTGTTTAAACATGGTCACAAGACGATGAGAGTTTGGGTGACCCAACCGAGCATGCCGCAATTGAAAAGTTTGATAAGAAAGACTCGGAAAAAAGGAGAAAAGGAATATGAAGAAGCTATGACCGATGACCATGAGGATGGAGGACGAAGTTGCTCGAGATAAAATATCCAACCCCATTTGCTACCCCGCTCGATCTCCCTCCTTGTCTTTTGATTATGAACAACACAGTTAGAAGGTGCAAACACAACATGATATGTCGATGGTCGAACAATATCAGAACTATGCACATAACCCATGCCAGAAACATGCAATTGCTCTCCATTAACAACTTGTAAGGAAACATTATCAATAGGGCATAGTTGCTTAAGAATCGAATCATCACTAGTCAAATGATTAAAACAAGCCAAATCCAGTATCCAGGTAGGAAGCTTGCCCGAAACCTGAAGACTGGCGAACACAGAAGAAATGGCCTTGTTCACTAGTTGTTTAAGAGCTGCCGGAGACACCACAAGATTCTCCGAACCAGATGGGCCTTGCACCGGATGCATAGCATAGGCTGGACGTGAAGAGGAACCACCGCCACGACCACCTCCACGTCCATTTGCCTCCCAATTCCTTTCTTCAAGAGTTGGACAATCTGGGATAAAATGTCTCGTCTTGTTGCAGTAGACACAAAAGTTTCTTTTCCTGCAGTACTTCTTAGTATGACCCTTATCCTTACAATGAAAACACTGAACATCAGTAGAATTAACACGATGTTGGAACGAAGCACGATAAGCTGCATACGCCGCATCATCATGCGAATTAGATAGCTTGCTAGAAACCGCACTAAAAACCGTTGGGGTTGAGAAACCACACTAAAAACCGCCGACCCTTCTCTTTTCCTCGGGTGCACGTCGAGCACAACGTTAGTGCGGATACGTGTTTATTCTTGAATCAACGAGGCAAGCACTCCTTCAACTTTAAGATCTCGCAATTCATCAAGGTAGCACAGATCGGCTCATAGTCCTGATTGAGCCGCATGAGGAAGTGCATAAACCGTAGCCTCTCGCGTTCAGCCTTGACCTCCGCCGATCCAGCTAAGGTGAGGAGGAAGCAGCGACGAGATCATTTTATGTCCATAGGTTTCGTGTCGCATTATAGTAGGAGGTGACATCCATGTGCCCTGATGGAGCGCAGCCAACTCCACCTCAATCTCGTATTGATGAGAAGCGTTCCTAGTGTGATACGTATTGGCAAGATATTTCCACATCTGCAGTAGGTAGCATACTGAGTCCCAAAATAATAGAGCCATCAACCGAATTGAGAAGCAGAGTCCGAACCTTAGCATCGTTTACCACCCATTGCGAGACCTCCCGCGCAGAAGAAGGAGGCGACGTTGGTCGTCTAGACGTGTTGTCGAGCAAACCAGGAGCCCCTTTCCCTCGATCAACATCTGAAACTGAAACTCCCAAATGACATAATTCTTGGAGTTGAGACGAGCTGTAATATGCTCAAAAGATAGACTCTAATACCATGTTAATCGTAACGGAATATCAAAACAGAAAATGTAAATCGACACAAAGAGTTACGTGGTTTCCTTGTTTAGTATGAACGAGACTAGTCCACGATCGAAACTATTGTGTCCTCTTATTCGGCTTAGCTTCAACGAGTCTAGTTACAAGCATATATATACAAACAGAATAATAAACCCTAGCTCCTAAACTCAGCCAACCCTAGCTTAACCCATACCGTTGAGATCACATATGGGAAGTTGGGCCAAAGCCCAAAGTATATTACTCAACACTAATAACTCAAACAACACTCAATTTCTATCATTCCAAATACACCATAGTAAGCAAATCACCTTCACCACCCGAGATGGTGAGGAGTCATGCTTTTGAAATTGCATAAAGAAGATAGCTAATTTTGGGTCCGCAACCCAGTCGAATATGACAATAGGCCCAAGGCCTCCCACGGAGTTGTTGCCACCATGCAAACAAGACTAATAACTCAAACAACACTCAATTTCTATCATTCCCAATACACCATAATAAGCAAGCCACCCTCACCACCCGAGATGGTGAGGAGTCATGCTTTTGAAATTGCATAAAGAAGATATATAGCTAATTTTGGGTCCACAACCATGTCGAATATGACAATAGGCCCAAGGCCTCCCATAGAGTTGTTGCCAGCATGCAAAACAAGAAGACATACTCCAACGATTTTGATTCCAACCAATGAACAAGACATCGCTCAGGGATGGGAAGCAACAAAACCTCTGTATTTTAAAGGATTAGGCCAAGAAGCTTCCCTAGGGAAATCTTAAGCATATAGAGGTATCGGGAACTCCCACAAAAGAATCCACAACCTTGGATCCATAAAGCACACCTCACACTTCACCAAAGATTTCCTCATGTCATGTCAACATTTAGCTACTGAAAGCACCAACAAAGGGATCACTTGAATAGCTGTAAATGTTTTAGGAGCGAAACAAGCATTTAAACAATAAAAACACAAGTCCCCCAACTTATTATTATAAATGAAGATTCTTGGATGCAATCTAAGTACTACTTCGAAAATATATGAGGAATATTCCTTGCATATAAATGTCCACCTAACTCCGTTAGTGTGAGGCCTTTTAGCACGGTGTCCAATAATAAATCTATGTAGTGTTGACTATAATGAGATAATACCGTACTAAAAATGAAGCGCATGGTCTCAACAAGTAGTATCAAAGTCCGATTTCAGAGTCTGAACCAGAGAGGTGAACTGTTAGTTGTGTGGATATGATTAGCTCGAAATTCGAAATATGTATCTATTTAGTAAATTAATGGAGATCAGCATATGGTAAGGACACAAAGTTGAGGGAAGGACAGTAGTCCTTAGGGATGGCAATTTACCCACCCATGGGTAATTTTGCCCAAACCCAAGTAGACCCATCTATTATGGGTAGGGTTTGGGTGATGTGTGTATGGGTTTGGGGTTTGTATATGGGTTTGGGTTAAATATGGATATTATCTAAATGGGTATGGGTTGGATATGGATATCCATTTTACTTGAGGGTGTTTTAACTACACATGCAAAAATTGGACTTATTTGTAAAACTTGAAAATTTTAGGTACCAAAATGTAAGACCAAAAAAATTTAGGTACCAAAACGTAATTTTCCATCGATATTTTGAGGACTTATATGCAAAAAAAAAATTAAATTTAGGTACTAAATATGCATATCTATTAAGTTTAGGTACCAAACTGCAATTTGTATTTGGGCATGGGTACAAACCCAAATCCATTTGTTATATACCCAACCCAACCCAAAGTAAATGGGTATGGGTACAAACTCATCAAACTTTACCCATATCCATATATTTGGATTTCATACCCAACCCAATTGGGTTGGATAGTAAAATACCCATGGATATGGGGATAATCGCCATCCCTAGTAGTCCTTCGCTAGAGGGAGGATTGCAATGACAATCCTCAAAACCTTATAGATAGAGCTATATATGTTTTATATATATGAAATTTGCCAGCAAAATGGAGACTTCTCAAAACAAAATTCTAGCAACCAATAAACAACTTATAAAAATGCTCATGCTTTTGGCGGATCAAAATAATCACTTGAAGTAAGAACACAAAATTCACTAGTCCTTCGCTTGTGAGTAATGAAAACCGGCCAGCTTGACGGTCCGAAACCTCAGGCTGAAGCAGATAACTCTACCACCGGCGCCGGTCGCGGATTCCCAACGACCAACCTCCCACCCACATTCCCAAGCCTATTCCCTGCCTCCACCTCCTTGGCCCCCTCCGACGTCCACCGCCCGCAGCCGTCGAGCAGCGCCGTGAGCCTGTAAGGCGCAGCGTCGGTGGCCAGCCACTGATCCACGTAGAAGATGGTTTGGCGGCACTGCTTGTGGGCCCCGGTGAAGGTGACCTCCACGTAGTCGCAGTACCACCCGTGGTGGGACCCAGACCCGTCGGAGGTGAGGTTGAGGCGGCAGATGGGAGCGCCGATGCACGGCGCCCGCCCGCTGAAGATGTCCACGTGTCCCCGCTCGTAGTAGTCGTGGCCCGGGCCCATCAGCCCCCACTGCTGGAGGTTCGGGATCCAGGCGGAGCGGCCCGTCGGGTCGCCGATCGAGACACTGATCTTGGAGTCGGTCCCAGATTTGAACCCGGATCCGGTCTTGACGTAGAATGTGTAGACGCATTCGCTGTCTTCCTCCTGCATATGATGTAATTAAAAAAAAAAAAAAAAAACCCAACGAGAGAATCGATCGTGAATAAGAGAAACAGATGATCAGTTGGAGATTAGTGGCTAATTACGTACATCGTCGGAGCGGACAGGGAGGAAGAAGAGTGTGGAGAAGACGAGGAATGAGAAGAGGAGAGATTTCATTCTATGGCGTACGTTGATATGGATTTGGAGGGTTATGGGATTTCGTTCATTGTGGGGGTCTAGACTCTATATATAGGACAGCCATGCATAAACTTGCATGAGTCTGGTGAGTTTGAATTGGAATTTTAGTTGGCATCCATATATTTTGATCTATCTAAATTTCATATGCAAAATGATATTTGATTTCGAAAACAAAAATATGTGTATAAATAATAATAGTAAGGTGACTTTTTCAGAAATTTGTGTTATGGTTAAATCAAAATTGCATTAAACTCGAAGTTATCTTGAAATTGTTGTCATTTCACAATGAGTAAATCCAGCCGTGGAGCTAGCCCCTAACAAGGTGGTTCCATGATCGATTATATAAATTAATTTAACCTACTAATATCTACACTAATACAGTTTATGAAGATTGGTATGATGCGGTGGGTTCCATGATCGATTATATAAATTAATTTAACCTAGTAATATCGACATTTATACAGTTTATCAAGATGGGTATGATGCGGGAATTATTAGCGAAAATCAGTAACTTTCTATGAAAATGATAGTCAGAAGAGAAAATTAGTTCCCATCAATGTATGTGCTTATGAAATTAGATTTAGTTTACTACTACCTATTGTCAATACACATGTTAGTAGATATTTTTTTGTAATAGGATAGTTAACCAGTCTAATGAGTGAAATGAAATTGTGAATGATTATATGGTGAGATAACATTAAAAAAAATCTTAATAATTCGACTAATTATGTAATTTTAAAATAATGGCAAAATACACTTCCATAGCTATAACTTTAACGTTTGTGACAAATATAGCCATAATTATTTGAAAACACAAAATAGCCAATTTCGTTCATTCTTTTAACGGTGTCAGTTAACGGTGTGACTAGACTGACGAAAAATGCTGAGTTGGCGATTTATTGACCCACCCATCCACGTGGATTAATAGAAAGAAAATACAAAAAGAAAAAGAAAAATAAATACATAAACATTAACCTACCTTCCTTCCCAAAATCGCAAAAAAAAAAAAAAAAAATTCCCCAAAATCATTCCACTTTCCCAGCAGCTCTCTCTGTAACCTACCTACCTTTTCCAAGCTCTCTCCCTCTAACTTTGCTCATCCATTTCCCTACCCAATAAACAAAGATGAATTGTAAACCCACCTCCGATCATCTCGCCGCTACAGACCCTTCCTCCACCGCCAATCCACCAAACCCACTCCTTAATTAGATGCATTCTCTCTCTATCTAATCTAGTCGGCTAATCAAGATAGTGAAGCAGAGAGGCAGAGTACGGGTAGCAGGTGCGTCGGTAGGAGCGACGGTGGCAGTTGGAGCGCGGGTCGCAGGACGGGAGCAATAGTGGTGGTGGATTGCGATTGCTGAACGTCCACCTCTCTGTTTGTTGTGGTCGATGGATGTTCTTGGAGAGCAGCAAACGAGCAACACACTAGCAGATCTGAGCAGATATGTTATGGAGAGGGAGGAGCAAGATTGGTTTGTGTGAGCAAAGACAGAGAGGCCTGAGTAGGGCAAATGGACGGATCTGGATTAGGGGGTATGTCGATTCCCCTTGCTCCCTCGAACACCCCTGCCGATCCCAACGAAGCAACGAAAACGACCCAAAGCTCAACCCCAGATCGTCCTCCACGCTCGCCAAACTCCTCTCCTAGCTTGTGGCGAAAACTCTCACCGACGGCTAATACGCAACTTCCTCGTCCTCCATCGAAAAAGCAATCTCGCCGACGCATCTAATTAAGGAGTGGGGTTGGAGGAATTGGACGAGGATATGGCTATGAGGAAGGAGATTTGGGAGAAGAAAAGGGGATTTAAGTTGATTGGAAGGGTTCTTGGTAAGAATAATAAAGATAATTTTTGGGGGTTTTCTGGCGCAATGGTTGTGTGGAGGATTTGTTTTGGGTTTGTGATTATTAGAAGGGCTCTGTGTTTGGATGGAGATTTTGTTTTATTTTGGGCGGCTGAGAGATTGGTTGATGGCGGAGGAAGGGAAGGGAAGTCGACAAATAAATTGGATTTTTTTAATTCTTTATGGACGAACATTTGGTTGATGTGTTGCTGATGTGGAGGTCGGATTTCGTCCTCGTCAGCGTTCTGTCAAACGATTTAACGGAGTCACAGACGGTGTTAAAGTTTCTAACGGAACTGGTTAGATTTGTCACACTACCCTCCGTTTTTTGGCTATTTCGTGTTTTCGAATAGATATGGCTATATTTGTCAAAAACGTGAAAGTTATGGCTATACAAGTGTATTTTGCCTAAAATAATTTGTAATATGAAACATGAAACTTCATAATGGTTATTGTTCAAAAATGATTTTATGATATCTTTTTAATGTACCACTTAAATAAAATTTTGGCTATGATACTGAGTAAATCAATAACCATTAAAGCCTGTTTGAATTTCTAAGGACTCAGTTCCTGTAGAAGAACTTAACTAGTCTCGAGCTACGTACCAATTAATCTTAAAAATGTACACAATACTAGCCAACTCAAAACGAGTAATGCAAACTCCTCCAATGTTCATCGTAGAAATTTTAAGAAAACAATCATTGTCTCCTCTTATCATAATTTTGCCAACTATTAATGTTAACATGTACTCAACGTTGTTGTAATGGTTTACGTTGTATATATGAGTCAATCAAATTTAAATTATCCAACTATTTCGGATAAAAACATCCATAATGTCTATAAATTAAGGTCTCGTTTGGAACCTCTGATTTCAGTCGTTGTATTCTCAGTATACGTGTATCCTGCAGAATATAACGTTTTTTTGACTTGATATAATAACAGAATGCATGTATTCATAATCCATGTTGTATTCCTAATACATAGAAAATTATGTATTGTGAATCATACCTTTTTGGTGAGATTCTGTTATGATTTGAGTATCCTAAGCATATAGATACCACACATTCAATTAATGATTTGAGTTTCATTCCACAAAAACTCTGGAAATTACTAATTAGTAATTACTATTGTTGTTAAAGCCAAACCAATCCGGTCGATTTGACCAGTAAAACCGACACCCAACTGCTAGTCTAGTTCTATTTATCACCCTGACTGCATGCTGAGAATCGGCCGACCGATGTGGTTAACCGCTCGAACTGAATAAACCAAACAACTTATTAGAAGCTCAAAGATAGCTAATTTGAAAAGCTAGGGTAATGGCTTTCGAACCCACCATGACCAAACCAACCACTCTCCAACTGGGCTACCACTGCTTTTATGCAACCAAATATTATTCATCTTATAAAGTGGAAAACATAACAAACAAACGTCTACAAAAAATTAGTGGCAGCGAGATACAATCTGGGCTCCCACTCCTTTAGCTATAGCAAAGGTAAGTCGAGTAAAAATTTACGCAGCTGCTCGAGCCCCCACATCCCGTGACATGGAGAATTTCTGGATCCCCTTGAGCAAAGCCACGACATCCGTATCGAACTCTCCCATCGAAGAAAAAGAAAAGGGCAGGAAACTGTAACCAGCTGCCATGCACAAGTCCCGATACTTGACACATTTTCGCTGAGCATCATCAACAACAACTCGTCTAGGAACAAAACCAGTCATCCCAGTCTGAGCCAAAGGCAAAGATCTAGTCAGATCGACACACACATCTCGCCCCCCTTTCCCAGGAATAAAGCAACAAATCCGGAGGACGAAGGGGTCCTTCATCTTATTATTATAAGTTTATGTTGCGGTTACTTAAACCGTGTTCGTGTTGGGCCTTGTCTGATTCGTTGGATTAGGGTTTTAACCCAGTATTGGGCCTTGTTGGGCCTTGTCTGATTCGTTGGATTAGGGTTTTAACCCTAAGTTTATCTATATAAGCTTAGCTATCGACTTGTGTGATAGCAAGCCGTCAAGATGTAATCCTAATAAGAGATCAGTCGTGAGCTCTTATGAGCTCACCGTGGATTAGTCTCGATCGATCAATCAATCGAGGATACCACGTAAAACTCGTTGTCTCGTGTGTTGTTCCAATTCCGCATCAACAAATTCTACAGTTTATAACTGATATAAGTAAATTTTCTTAGTTTTGATTTGTTGTCATCAGTGCAGTCAAAATTGTGATTCTACGTGAAAGCATTTTGGTGACCTCGAAGTGTACAAATGTAAGCTTTTAAACTTTAAAGTGTAGATTTGAGTACACTTATAAGTGAAAACCACGATTATACATAGAAATATTTTTTGTGACCTAAAAGCACAATTTTGACTACATTGCTTGTCATTAATAGTTTCTACTTTTCAAAAAGCATCACTTAAATTATATTGAATAATTTCCATTTTCGTAAAATAATAAGTTTCTACTTATCTTATATAGTTACATAATTATTTGGTAGGAATATATTAAATTTAAATATTTAAAGTTTGGACTTCAAAACTTTAGCACTCATATATTTTATTTTTCCAAGGCAAGCCCAGAGGGCATGGACAAAGACGCAACTCAGTTACAAGGAGGACTAAAAATAAAAGGCGGTAATCTGTAAGCAAACGGATTCCCGATGAAAGAGCTTGTTTAGCCACTACATGGACAGCTCGGTTAAAGCTCCAAGGAGCAAAACGTCACACACATACTAAAAAAAAAATGGAGTAAGTTCCTCCAAGATAGCCTCTGCTCAAGAGTGCGTAGCGTTTTTTGACATAGCGTGCTTGATGACCAGTTGAGCGTCTCCACCAAATACAACCACCAAACGATTATGAGTTAAACATCATCTCATAGAATCTCTAAACTAGAAGCTCAGTAATGTAAGCCTAAAAAATTTCTTCATGACATTTACCAAAAGCAAAGGATAACATACTGTCACTTAAGAAACCAACAAATACCTTCTTGGTTTTCCTTCATGCTCCGTTAAATTGGCATAAAAATAAATAAGAAGATGAAAAGAGAATTAAAAGTTTCCTCAATTAAGGGAAATAAAAGCTAATTACATAAAAGATTGATGGGTGTAATAAGGAATTACTCCAAATTGATGACTTGCCAA